GTAAAACCTCACAAAATTGATCAGTGCTTATGCTGAGTTTGATAAAGTCAGTTAGTTGTGGCCGACATCTTGATTAAATTTAAAAAAGAGGCTCCTTGGGCTTTAAAGCCACCTCTACGGTAAAATCAGAGACCATCGATAAATCTAAGAATGCAGTGAACAACTCTAGTTCTGAATGTTAGTTTCACACWCTCCTCAGACTCATGAGAGAGAACAATCATTATTTTTAATTACGATTCCCAGGCCTGTTGACCTCCTCAAGCTGTTGATGAGTCAGGCATGCCAAACCGAGCTCAGACCTGCTTTAAATCTGCAGGTTGAAAAATTTTTTTTTAGATTTCTGTTATTTAAAGGCGAATCCTCCATCAGGCGAAGAACACTCATCCGAAATCTAAACATTTAACATTGTTTGTATTGTCTCTAAGTAGTCAAACTATACATCTGTATTTCTGAGCCACTGAAATGTTGTGGAGGGTAAAAACACATCAGGCTTCTGTGAGATCATCCAGATTTATGCAAACTTTTTAAATGGGCTTGTGTGTGTGTGTGTGTGTGTGGGGGGGGGGTCAAACAAACCAAAAAAGCTACTGTATTTGAAATCCATGTTTTATCTTTTTTTTTAATTTTTTGCTATCACCCCCTCATTCTCAGTCCGACTGAGTCACAGGATGAGTTAGAAATCATCAAACGTTGATCGTCAGCTTTTATTGTTCAACTTTTTTTATTTCTTTGACGTAATTAAGGATGTGAAAACACTCAATATTTCATTATGACTGCAATGCACTCAAATATATAATTACTCTTTTTTTTCAAGTAAAAGATTGCTCATTTACTGTCGATGTGGTTTTGTGTTAATTTAATGAGTTCTAAGTTACTCGGCTAAGCCTTTATTTACCCTTAAAATCCTGAAGTCCTGTGATGTTCAGCTCAGGTGGTGTGAACACTCTGCTTCCTGCTTGCATTTTTTACAGCACGTGTTTGTTTTKGCTCTTCTTTGTGACTTTCTGATCATTTTGCTTCGTGTTTGAAGGTGGTGTTTTGCTTCTCCWCAGTGAAGTGCCACTAAGCTTCTTGAATCTGCCCTCATTAGCCCCACAAGTCCTCTGAGACTAACASGAGCGTTTGTCTCACTGGTAGTTTTGATGAAATACTTATGATAATCAAATTAATTTCTGCCTGGGCGCTGTGTGTATGTGTGTGTTCAGGAAAAGTGTCAGATATCAGTTTGTGACGAACCTGAAAGAACTTTCAGAAGGTTTGCACTAACGTTTTTCCCCCTTCAGCAATCATACAACACATATACCATACCACTACAACCACTTCCTACAAAGGGCCCTTTGTGTTTGATTATTGTAGGGTTGTATAAAGTACCTCAAAGTGATACTTGAGTAAAAGTACAAGTATCTTATCACAAAA